TTGCTGATGCAGTTTTTAGAAAGTCAACTTACAGTGACAAGTGTCAGCTATGGCAAAATAGGCACAAAAATGTGCATTCCTAAGACACAGCTGAACACCTACCTTTCTGAGGGTCAACCTACTTGCTTCAAAGGCATCTTAACATTTTACCCAAATGAAAGTGTGATGACAAGAGAAATGTATCTTTCTGAATTGATGCAATATTTCAATTTCACAACAAAAGCTGACACTAAGGGTATGAACTGCTTCCTCTGCACTTTTTCCCCCATTTTCCCAGGAAAGATGCTGCAAGCCAAATATAAAAGTTTGTCTGTTTTCCTTGGGAAAGCAATTTCCCAAGGCAATCTGCAGAGCCACCCTTCATGCACCTGTGTTGCCACATGGCAAGAGGATGCACTCCACAATATGGGAATATCTCAGAATTTGTGTTGCCCTCAACCACAAGAAATCACTCAACTGCAACCCCAGCTCCAACCAATTCACTACAGATTGTTAACTCTGCATTCTCGCTAAGGAAGTGGTATGGTGTATTGAGCTAGACCATAATGAAATATCTTAAGTACTCATAAGCACTAAAGGCAGTGAAACCCATGGGATATATTCTCTTATTTGCCTCTTCTCTGATTACCATCCTGTCGAGTCACTCTGCAGACAGAGAGCTGGAGGCTGCGTGTTGGACAACAGCAGCAAGCTGTTTTTAGCAGTGCTGTGCTGGAAGCACACCACGCCATCAGAGCACGCGCACGCCGCAGGACCAGCTCGGGGAAGGCACCACAAGGACAAACTGCAATAAACCCGTTTTAGATTTACTCCAAAGCTGAAAATTCCCAAAACCCAAGTTCAAAAACTTATCTATTTCTCTTCAGAGCGATATGCTGAAACAATCCAGATTTCAGCAAGACCATTTTAAGGATGTCATTGTAACGGTGTGTGTGAAGTTAAAAGCAAAAACTGCAAATCCCTTCAGTTGATAATTATGAAGCAGGTCACAAATATGCAGGGATTAAGCTAAAGCTTCTGAGCTCAGAGGTTTGTAATGAAGGCCTGCGCAACTGCTAATAGCAGAAGCCATTCACCTGCAGCAAAGTATTTTAAGCCTATTAAACCAAGTGTAGCTCACAGTACCTGAAAGTGAAAACACTTCCTTGTTCCTTCTCTCCCTTAAAAACTTCTGTTTGTCAGGAAAACCTTTAGCCCTTTTTGTTTGTTTGTTTTTAATAACATTCTCTCAACTTCTTACCATGTAAAAAGAAGGGCCATTGATAGGTATCTAAAAACCAGAATCTCCCAAATTGTCTTTTTCCTTTGGCTCCCTAGTTAAGAACAATAGAAAAAGTTGCTAAATAAAAACAGTTGACCTTCACACTAGTCTACATTATGCAAAGCGATACTGTGGCTAAATACTGCCAAGAAAGTTCCCCGTAAAAAGCCCAACAAATTAACAACTGTAAAATACATAAGCCTGCAGTGCAAGTGTAAGACAAGTTCTCAATAGCGAGCCCTTACAAACACCAAACCAAAGCCTGGAGCGGGCAGAAGGACAAGTCTATGCCCTTTGGCACATTCTTTACAGGCACAAAATGAAAAGAGATTTTGGCTAAATCATACACTAACTTGGACAAGCTTTATCTTGGATATACTAAGGTGTCTACAAATTATAGTAGCTTTCTATACTCTTTACGAAGACTGATGAATGAATGAAAAAAATTCTAGATGAAACATTTTTCCTTCATTAGTATGAGAGGTCAACAGGACTAAGTGTTTTTAAGTCAGTAATAACATATTTTTTAAAATAGTCATGTAGTATTGAGCTCTTATAGCTTAATCCAAGTTTAATTAAAGGGCTTCAGATAGGTCTTTAGGCATTCCCATTTAATTCTTCAGACTTGTGCTTGAATACAAGCACATTTAATCAAAACAACACTCTTATTATATATTTGTGCTTTTAGATTCAACAGAAACTTTTACTTCTGCAGAAGGTTGATAATATTTGAAAGTTCAAAGAAATTGCTTTTTTAAGGCTTCTATCAAGCAGGACTAGAAGGGCAAAGCTCAGTACAGTTTTTATAGCCTCATCCAGGAAGTATTAGTTGCTAAAAACAAAAGCTGGATCCACCCGAGGCTATTTTCAGTGTTACATTCCATGCTTTAAAGGCAAAAATTCTCTGCAGGGCAGTTCACAGTGCCTGCCCAACTTGTCTGACAAGACAGTTGCTTGAAGTCATTAAATTTAACATGCAGTCATAAACCAGCCAGCCTCATTCCACTACTATGTGTAGCAGTCGACCTTCAAATTACATTTCAGCTTATCAGAATTTCCACAAAATCTCACTGGTTTTGGTATTATAGCAACTAATCCTCCACCCCTGGGTA